TAGTCTCTGTGACTGCACCCCAGGCATAAAAAACCGCCGTTTACTAGATCTTCCCTTCCAGAGACACAGGCACAGCTACTGCAGAACCAATCTGCCAGGGAAACCATAGTGTGTAAACAGCCGAATAGGAAAAATCATCAGATAGGTTTACACTCCTAGCAGTCGAACTGGAACAGCATACAATGTAAATCCCCAAAGAATGAGACAAAGCTCCGTGTTGTGGGTCAAGCAGTGAACAGGCAGAGCTGTGGGTTTATTGTGCTTATGTACTACATTCTTACACATTAGTACCACCCACAGGGGTTTGGAACACAACCAATAAACACATACAATACACTCAGACACTCCCCACAAAATCCTCCCCTCTGCATGTGATTCGAGTACCTTACACAATGGGTAATGTAATTTACTTCAAACAGAAATGTCTAGTACTCCACATTATTCATAACTTAGAAAAGTATGCATCACATTCACATAAAACTTACATTTTCAAGTCAGCACACTCCAAATACAAACGTACGTCAAATATACAAAGTGGTCAGTGGTTCAAAGATAGATCGTAGTCGCTGTGACCACCCAAGGAAGCATAGCTTTCTGCCCAAAACTTGGTTTGAGTCTTCTATCCTGGAGATAATTAGAAGTAATCCAATTATCTCCAAGACAGAAAACAAAACCAAAACAAGCACATGGCAGCAAAAAGACAGTAAACTACAATAAAATACACAAGGATTACATTTATGACATAAATACAGACATGCAACATATGCCGAATGCTTAAAGTTAGCGCTCATTATTACTGAATAGGCTCAGAGCACACTACAGTTCAATTGCCATGGGCAAAGTCTTTCCATAGTCTTTCATTATCTGAGAATGGGCTCCATGGCATAGCTATCTGGGGTATCACCGCTCAAACAGGGCAAGCACCAAATGACCCGGCTTTCATTACTTTGCAGGGGAAAATCAAGCCTTTTAACATGGGGCCATAATCCAAAGGCAACAGGCGAGCAACCAGGCTTCTCCAATGCAATGTGGCGAGATTGCTCTCGTCACAGTCTCCACCTGCTTTTTCCACCTGCACTGTGAATGTTTACATGGTGTGTTCAATAAAAACATGGCAACATTTCATTCTTTGTGTGTTATTAGTTTAAGCAGACTGTGATTGTCTATTGTTGTGACTTAGATGATCAGATCACAATTTATGACCAATTTGTGCAGAAATCCATATCATTTCAAAGGGCTCACATACTTTTTCTTGCAACTGTATATATATATATATAGTATAGATTGGATTAGCTGTATAAATCCAATAGACAAGCTCCCCAAATCCCAGAGTATTGCAGTATTCAATGATACCTTTTATATATGTAAATACCAGAGTATTGCAGTATGCAATGATACCTTTTATATATATAAATCCCAGAGTATTGCAGTATGCAATTAAACCTTTTATATATATAAATCCCAGAGTATTGCAGTATGCAATTATACCTTTTATATATATATATAAATCCCAGAGTATTGCAGTATGCCGTGATACCTTTTATAAATATAAATCCCAGAGTATTGCAGTATGCAATGATACATTTTATATATATAAATCCCAGAGTATTGCAGTATGCAATGATATCTTTTATATATATATATATATATATATATATATATATATATATATATATATATATATATATATATATATATATATATATATATATATATATATAAATCCCAGAGTATTGCAGTATGCAATGATACCTTTTATAAATATAAATCCCAGAGTATTGCAGTATGCAATGATACCTTTTATATATATAAATCCCAGAGTATTGCAGTATATAATGATACCTTTTATATATATATATATATAAATCCCAGAGTATTGCAGTATGCAATGATACCTTTTATATATATAAATCCCAGAGTATTGCAGTATGCAATGATACCTTTTATATATATAAATCCCAGAGTATTGCAGTATATAATGATACCTTTTATATATATATATATATATATAAATACCAGAGTATTGCAGTATGCAATGATACATTTTATAAATATAAATCCCAGAGTATTGCAGTATGCAGTGATACCTTTTATATATATAAATCCCAGAGTATTGCAGTATGCAATGATACCTTTTATATATATAAATCCCAGAGTATTGCAGTATATAATGATACCTTTTATATATATAAATCCCAGAGTATTGCAGTATATAATGATACCTTTTATATATATAAATACCAGAGTATTGCAGTATGCAATGATAAATTTTATAAATATAAATCCCAGAGTATTGCAGTATGCAATGATACCTTTTATATATATAAATCCCAGAGTATTGCAGTATATAATGATACCTTTTATATATATAAATACCAGAGTATTGCAGTATGCAATGATACATTTTATAAATATAAATCCCAGAGTATTGCAGTATGCAGTGATACCTTTTTATTGGACTAACACGATATTTCAAAGACAAGCTTTCGAGAGTGTTCCTCTCTTCCTCAGGTCTGATCAATCTGATAGTTTAATACTTAAAACTACTGATGTTAGAGACGGGGAGTGAGAGGGGGGTGAGTGGGGTGTCATAAATAGCAGAAAATGAAAGGTGCAGAGTTGTAGTGCAAACATGGTGTACATGATACAGTGTACAGAGTGTGACAAAGGTTGCTACATTGGAGAAACTGGCCTTAATCTGCATCTCAGAATGAACCTACAAGGAAGAACCACAAGGAAAGCGGATATTGTACCCCTGTTGGTCATCACTTCACCCAGACTGGCCACTCCATCCAAAACCTCAGGATTAAAGTTCTTAAAGGGCAGATCATGAGATGAAAATGATCACACATTTCAAGACCAGAAATAAAGGACTTAATGTCCTGGCTGTCTCACACACTACCAAAACTTTATATAAACACACATCTTAATGTCTCTGTTCTGCCTTCTCCTTCTCCTGTCCTCTGCTCATATCTTTTCTGCCAACTCACGGCTCTCTAACCTTGGAATAGCCTGCCTACCCCCGTCCGATTCTGCCTAGTCTTCAATTGTTTCAGAAATCCCTCAAAGCCCATCTTTTCAGAAATGCCTATGGCCTCCCAGAGTAACGTTGATGTCACAAATCTGTCTCTGGCTCTCTCCTACACTCCAGTCTCACCTCCAGTTCTGCTACTTTCCCACCTTGTTTTGTGGCTGCTCCACTTGATGCCCATCCTATTGTGTCTAACAACACTACCTCTTCTAGACTGTTTGAGAAGGGTCCTCATCTACCTATTGTTCTTGTAACATTTTGTAATTGTCCCATTTATTGTTAAATTTCCCCCTTTATAATAGTGTAACGCACAGCGAAATAAGTTGGGGCTATATAAATACCAATAATAATATTATTAGTAATCTGCACTGTTCACTCTCAGGCACATCTTCTGCTATTCATGACACCCTACCAACCCCCCCCCCTCCCCCCCCCTTCCCCCTTCTCTTACATCAATTGTTTTATGTGTTAAAGGGACACTATAGTCACCAGAACAACTACAGCTTATTGTATTTGTTTTGGTTAGTATAATCATGACAAAATGCAGTGTTTACATTGTAGCCTAGTGATACCTCCACTGGCCACTCTTCAGATGGCTACTAGAGGTGCTTCCTGGGGCAGTGCTGCACAGTGTGACTGACATTCAGTGTCTCCACCCTCTGCATGCAGACACTGAACTTTCCTGATGGAGATGCATTAATGCAATGATTCTCTATGAGGAGATGCTGACTGGTAAACTATTCTGATTGGCTGAGCTCATCACATCTGATGATGTCAGCCAAAGAGGCAGATCAGGGGCAGAGCCAGCACCAGTATACTGGAAAAAAGGGGAGATTTAATATATTTAGGGAAAGCCAAAGGGCTAGCTAGTGTTTTGAACACTATGGGGACAGGAATACATGTTTGTGTTCCTGACCCTATAGTGATCCTTTAGACTCAGATTCAGATTGATCAGTATTGCTTCAGACCTGAGAAAGAGAGGAAAACTCTTGAAAGCTTGTCTTTTACGTAATTTGTTAGTCCAATAAAAAAGGGATCATTGCATTCTGCAATCATCTGGTATTTTGGCATCTTATATATGTATCTATGTATCTATGTATGTATCAATCTTTGTATGTGTGTGTGTGTGCATGTAGTTATCTATAAATGTGTTTTTAAGTTACTATGCATGTGATTGTGAAGCAATTTTAGTCGTTAGTATTTTACAAAAAATGACCATTTATATTTTTAATAAATATTTTTTTTTGTTTTTTAACAACATCAGAATATGGTATTTGTTGTTTCATATCTTGAGTAATCATAGATGAAGTTATCAAATACCAAATCATCATATGTATTATTCAGTTTCTCTTTTTCTCTCTATCCTTATCTACTTAATTTCTGTTTCATTATTTTGTTTATTTGACACTATTACAATTTTATTAAACAATCAAATACAAGACAGACTGACTAACAACCAAACAGACACTTGGACAGACATTTGCTCGGTTCGCAGTGCAACAAAGAAAAGAAAGGAAAACATTTTTTTTTTAATTCCCATATCAGGCTCGAGGAGAGGGGCCCATGTATTTCCATAAACGGATAGAAAAGAAAAACAGGAAAAACCCACTAAGAAAAGAGAGGGTAAAGAAGAAAACCTCATTATTCAGGGTCCAATTTTTGAATCCATTTCTCCCAGTAGGTGTAGTGAAGTCCCTCTCCATTTTATATTGAATAACGCTTTGACCAGTTGTCTACCTTAGGAGATTTCCAGTTCGTAGCTATTGAGTTTTTCACAGCCATTAAGATGTGAAAAATAATAGGTCTTGATTCTTTATTGATGCCCGTCATATCCATATGTGATACTTGGAGTTAACTTAATCTTTGTTTCCAATAAAAAATATAAGTATTGGTCTAGTTCTTCCCATATATTTTAGTGCAGTACATATAACAGATTTTTTTTTTATTAAAACACTCACTCCTTTTTTCCTTACACCCTATCTGACATATTAATAATTGGTAAAACTTCCTGGATAACTTTATTAGAATTTTGCTCTAAGGACACATTGAATCTCCATAGGGTCCTATCTTCAGTGAGTGAATCTTTAGGAACATGTGGTGTGATATTCTTAGCATGAAAAGAAATAGCCATTTCTCTCGTGACCAAAGTCGTTTTTCCTTCTCCCTTCAAAATACTATGGATTGATGTCTGAAAGACACTGGTCTCTGGATATTGCTTTTGAAGATTCTCCATTAATGATCCCCAATCATAGAGTTTCACTGGAAGAATGATTTCATCAATGTCATTAAGGAAGACAAACTTACTTCTATACATATTCCTGTACAGACAGTCATTTAAAGTGGCTGTTTGTCCATAGTAACCAATCTGATTTTTGGATTTCAAGTTATAATACCAGTCAGTAGATGTTCGTAGGAATTTGTCTATTGGCCAAGGAACGACCTCTAGAATTCCCTCTTCCATGTAATATTGTAAGACTTTGTCCACATTCTCATGACACTTGTTGACATAGAGAGTAACTCTTCCAGCTCCAAGCAGTTTATACATTTCAATGCTCTGGATAGTCTGTAGAACATTATTATAATCTCCATACATGGTGGAAATGCAGACTGTGAAATTGACAGACAGAGTATGAGGAGGACGGTTTCTGACTTCAAACAATGGAAGTGGAGTTATGTTTGTGGCATTGGGCCGATAGACAGATATGTAATGATAGGAACAGTTTGGAGGCTCAGTACATAACAGGTCAGCCGTTCCATATGGATGTGCAAACCTGTCTCTGTGAAGCTCTATCTGAGCTCTGACTGTCACTGATGAGCTATGGATACAGTGGAACCAACAATAAAGCTCTCTTACTGAATGATGTATGATAGCAAGTACCCGGATACTTGGTGTGGGTCCTCGGGGGTCATAGTACGGAGCCAGGATAAAAGTCTGGTTATCCCCCAGAGCAGTTATTGTGCTGTTTGCAATGTTAGAAGAATTTCTAGGTTTAATTTTCACTTGTTGGTGATAAATATATGAAAGCCATAAAATGGAAACAAAGACATTAATGATGTAGAAATATTTCCTCATGATTCAACCAATGCTCTTGTCTTGGCCACCTGCAGAAAGAAAAGAAAAATGTCAACAAACTGAAAGAAAACCTTATTGTAACCTCTTCTCCAACGCTCACAAATTGTATCACATGCTGGAAAATGGGAAGAGTTATCTCTTATCCCTCGCGAGTAGGATTTAATAACACTGACATTTATATTTTTTGTCTTGAAGAGCGATTGCATTATAGCCTCCCACTACCGATTCCCTGGTTATGGCCTCTCCATATCAATGTCATGTTTGTACAACTAGTATTCACAAAGGGGCTTGCTCCCTTCCTCCTTAGCCATTTGCTCAGCGTAGCCTATACATACTGACACCAGGGCAGGGCAGCCATCAGAAGTTGACAACCATGGCAGTTGTCATGAGCCTGGTGATCCTGGAAGGTCCGGCATCAAACACTGATGAAATTAGAGCCACCCAAAAGGTTCTGGTCAACGCTATGACCCATTAATCATGCGACTCGGCCCCTTTAAAAATTTACACATATTTTCTTTCAAAGTGCGACGGATATTATGTATTTTTTATTTGGCCATTTATGGGGCTGAAATGGTAAATTGTATTTCTTTTTCTTTTTTTTTTCTTTTTCTTTTTTTTTTACAGGTACTTAGTCATTGGTCCCCCCTCACTATTTTTGGGGTGAGGTGGGTAGGTAAGGATTTGAAAAAAATTTTTGGGAGGGGGTGACAAGGGGATTGGAGACACCTAGTCACCTGGGGGTTGCATTTTTATTTAAGGCCCACACCCGCCGCTCAGGGGTGGGGGCCGGGGGGAAGGACAATAGGTCCCCCCCTTTTATTTTACTTTAAGGTGGGGGCCAAGGGAGAGGACAATAGGCCCCTCCTTTGAAGTATTTTAGGGCCCCCACCCACTACTCTGGGGTGGTGGCCAGAGGAAGGACAACAGGTGTCCCCCCTTTTTTTTACTTTAGGGCCCCCACCCGCCGCTCAGGGGTGGGGGCCGGGGAGGGCAATAGGTTCCCCCTTTAGAATAAAAGCCCCCACTTGCGCGGGTGGGGGCTCAGGAGGGGCGGGGACACTTTTTTTTTTTTAACAGTAAGCTGTTTAATAGACATGACCCTACTCATGGTATAGAGTAGGGGCAGATTATTTACTAATACTTAGTAATTTTTAATTAGTATTAGTAAATTTGCCTGAAAGACCAATTTAGGTCTTTTAGCCTTTTGGTAGATAGCTCTCTAATAACGTGGGAATTAGGGAGTTATCTACTTACTCATCCCCATCCATTGACTGTAATGGAAGTAACTTACATTTTATATGAATGAGTGTTACTTGATTGTTGTAAGTGTTGCAATTGCTTACAGCTGAATCCTGGTTATGTTTGTATACTTTTTTTTAAACTGGTATACAGTGTAACATTCTTCATTCTTCCAATTCGGCACTTCGGAACTTCGGCAACCTAGGAATTTCGGCACGCCAGCACATCGGAACTTTGGCACATCGGAACTTCGACACTTTGGAACTTCGGCACTTCGGAAATTCGGAAATTTGGCAATTCGGCAATTCAACTATTCGGACATTCGGAAGTCTCTGAATGTCCGAATTGCCCGAAATTTGTCCGAATTGACATTTAGAACGAAATGAATTGCACATGTCTACTGAAAAGGCACTGGGAGAGGTAGGAGGAGCACCAGGAGAGAGCAGTATCCTCTGTAACCCGAGATTACAGAGAATGAGAAGAAACTGTTGATGATCAACAGTGTCAAAGGCAGCAGAAAGATCAAGGAGAATTAGGATAGAGTAATGGCTGCAAGATTTAGCAGTAATTAAATCGTTGGATACTTTGGTCACGGCTGTTTCAACAGGATGACGAGCGCAGAATCCAGACGGGTCAAGCAGAGAGTTGTATT